TAAGCCATCGCAATTTATTGGAACTGTGTGAACTAGAGTGAATATTCACCTTAATGTTGTTCTAAAGGCTTATTACTTAATAACACAAAAATGTCCTACTGGCACTTGCCAATTTAATGGCAGAGAATGGTGACTTTTTTTTCTGAAGCGGATGCATATCTGTCGTAAAATAATCCTATGCATCTGGTGGCGTATATTCCAAGCATTCTGAAGGTATACTGAGGGTTTGGTGAGAAACAAACCGAAATGGCAAGCTATTATATTTTATGAAACGCTTGCGTTGCAGTGCGAGTGCGCAGCAGCTCACGCTGCACATAAGTGCATAGCCTTTTGAGATATCAATTATAATCAATTTTAATAAAACACAAGACTACATTATATAACTCTAACAGCAGGCTATTTAATATCTGTTGTTCTCCGGTTGTCAGTCAGAATGACAGTTCTTGCGTGAACATAGGCTTATATATATACCCAAGCCAATTTATTATTCTTTGTCTTAGTGTTTAAAATATTTATCTTGAAACAAATTAATTAATTGATTTCTTAATTAAACAAACAAACAGACTTACTGGGTGAGCAGGGTAGGCTATGACAGCTGTCATATCATACCCTGCAATGCCCAGCTGATGCAAAGAATAGAATTTATATCTACACAGAAGAAAGCCCTGTCTAGACTCTGCCCCGGTACGAGTTGTGTCGAGCTATTCATTAGCCTGTTTGTTTGATGAAAAAAGATTAAATGTAGTTGCAATAAAGGCGTTAAGAATCAATACAACTGCAGCAGTGGAGGACTATTATTCTGTTGCGTGATACTGCAGAAGAACTGAAGAAGGCACGGTTTGATCTTCGGCTGACCAATCAGTAGAAAGGGGCGTTTATTCCCGCCCACATGTAGACATCGAATATTCAAGCTGTTTGTTCATTTTTCCACCCATGAACAAAAAACGAACATTTAAGATGAATTCTCGTTTTTCGTTTTTTGGAAAAAAACGAAAAAGGAGCCGTTTTCACATTTTTCTACTTTCAATATTAAATAAAAAAACGAATGATCGAATGATACACGGATTTCACTGCTTAGTCCTATTTGAAGTTATCCTAACAGGAGTAGAAGGGCAGTTTTTTTAAGCATATTTCATAAATTAATTGAATTCTGAAGAACAGTATAAAAAAAACTTAAATGAGATATTTGAAAAAGATCTCTGATCAAAATTAGAGAACACTTACAGATACCTCCAAGTTATTGGTGTTAATCTGGCACCTGGTGCTAATTTCCTTAATTATCTGGCAACCCCTATTTAACTGGCAGCATTCCTCTCATTTTCACTGAGATTGCAAGATGGCGGGCCGCTCTAAGGTGACGGGAACCCTGCAACAGCAGGTTGTCCAGATGAAGGCTAAAGAAATCTGTGATTTCTTGAATATTGCAGACACTATGACGCTAATTGGCACTAATTCATTCAAGTCCCCCAAAAAGGCTGGTCATCCACGTAAGACAAATGCACAAGAAGACAGGATAATGCTTAGACTCTTAATGGGGAATTGGTTCAACACTGCAGCTGGAATTGCTTGCCAGTTCAGTGCTGAACAGGGTATGGATCTGTCTCGGCATGTTTAAGAGAAGTCGGACTGAAATTGCACTCTACAGTGACCAAGCCTCTCATCAGCAGAAAGAATCAAAAGGCTAAGCTCACCTTTGCTGAGGAGCATGTTTTGTGGAGAGAGGAGATCTGGTCTAAAGTTCACTTTAGTGATGAGAGCAAGTTTAATTTATTTGGGTCTAATGAGAAACATTATGTTTGCCGTCAAACTGGGAAAATACCGAACCCTGAGTGCGTAAAGAATTTAGTGAAAGGTGGAGGAGCAGTGTCATGGTTTGGGGGATGTTTTGTGCAGCAGGAGTTGGGCCTCTTATACAGCTACATGGAGGGTGAATGCAAATGTTTATCAGAACCTCCTTCAGCAACAACCCGATTGAAAATCCTTGGCAACAAAGTTATGGCTAAGAAATCCACAACAGTTACCGCACTATAGAGTGGACTAAGATCACACCAGTGCAGTGTGAGAAACTAGTGATGTCCTGCAGCCACAGATGTGCTGAAGTCATTCAAAGCAAAGGCCAATACACTTTCTACTAATTCCTGAAAGCTGTAACCCTTCAAAATTTTAGTTTCGTGCTACAAGTGGTTATTGTTCTCTAATTTTGATCATTGTGTTTTTCACAAAATAAAGGTTTTAATAGAAATGCTTTGGTTATTTTGTAAAACATGTTAGTATAACAGTGGTATACCCACAGCTAATATTCCTTGAAATTTTGAGTGATGAAGATTAACAATAATTTAGAAAAAAATCAAGTATTTAAAGATTGTTCTCTAATTTTGATCTCCATTGTATATCCAATATTGGCTGATACAGAAAATAATTTTAAAAATTATATCATTCAATATCAACTATACTGAACAAAAAATAGTGCCAATATATATATACAATATTGACTGATATGATGAATTAAAAAATGTCTAATATGTAATATCAACTGATATGTTAACTTAAAAAATCTAATATAAGCCAATATAGATCTAGTATCGATCTAAAGCATATATAAATCACCAAATAAGATAAATTGATCAATTAAAATTTTTTTTTAACTAATATTGACCAACAATGATATATTCAACAATCTCTAATATCAGCAGATATACAGTATATCCGCCAGTTTCCACCAATACCAATAAATTAAAAAACATCTCCAATATCATCATAAATGTAATCTATCAGCCGGTAACCAATGGGGTACTGATAAACTGTGCATCCCAAAAAGCCATGTTGACTCTCAAAATGGTGGGGAACGGGGCACCTCCTCCTCTTTCTTCTTCTTCATATGCTTTCGCTCCAGTCAGAATGGCGCAATTTCTCTCGTATATCCTCGCATGAGCTCTGGTGTAATTGAGGGGTGTGGGAGCGTACGGGTGGACAGCTGTCAGGGGAAGATAAAGAGGGTTTCTGCGGGTGTTGGGGAAAGGAAAGCATCCGATGAAGGGCCTCGCTGCAGCAACCCCACTGGCTGAATTACCTGGCCACTTTATAATTGTGTGAGAAGGGTGCTTCCAACAGCTCTGTCATTACTCAACCGGCCCGGTCCAGCGAGGGAGCTGCCTGCCTTGCCTTACTCTTCCTCTTTTCCTGTCCTGCACTTCAGTCCTCCTCTGTTCCTTTGTTCTTTACTGTCTTGGGGTTGGTGCGGAGCTGTGAGCCCACTTTTTGAGGGGAAAACCATTACCTCTCATCAATCCCCCAGCTCTCCTCAGGGTGCTCTCTATTGTTATGGTGACCCACTAGTAGCTTTTTGCGCATTCTGATATTTTCCCTTTCTTTTCTCCTCTTTTGTCATAATGGGGTCCACTTTGCCGCAGTGCATATGGTGTAGCTTCAAATATCCTGTAAAGTGTGTGTGTGTTAAAATGGCAGGGAGCATGATAATGACTGTGAGGACTTCATAATTGCACTGTCTCAAGGCCTTTTATCTAGAACGAGTCTTGCCTATTTAGTCACATCAATGCCATACCGTACTATATGTCTCCACTTTGTCCAAACCCATGAAAGCACTTGCTTACATCACCCCAGGGTAAAAGCCTTGTCATTTGATAAGATAATCAACATGCTTCAAGGGCAATTTGCAACGCAGAGAAAAGAAAGAATACATGGTAATTACACAGAAAGCCTAGCAGTAAGAGTCTGTAGAAGAGCCTATAATTTTCTCTTTAGAGGCTTTTTACAAGGGCCATTTGCTCTAATGCTTTTTTAACTGATGACTTTGGAAGTTAATCTAATTAAGGAGCTGAGGCTTCAGGTTTTTTTTATTTTTTAAGTTTTGATTGCCTTTTTACCCTTATGAATTTAAGTAAATATATCAAAACACACACACACACACACACACACACACCAAAAAAAAATTCAAAGCACCTTTTCTGTGTGCAGAAAATTATCTTGATTTTTGTGGAAAATTCTGTGTTCCTATTTTTTTTATTATTTTTTAAGTTTTGATCATTGAAAAGACTCTGAATCTCATTGGTAATTAATGATAGATGATCATCAAAGGGTAAAAAGTAGAAAAGCATAAGGTTTCTGAACAGAATAAATTAATTCAATTGTTTATACAAGCAGAGTGAGATGCTTGTATAGGTTAATCTATTTATTTATTTTTAATGTGGTATGTGGTAGGTACAATGAAACATTTAGCTGAACTTGAGCTTCTTAATTGTAGCTTTGATTGAAGTCAACATAATATTGTTTTTGTGTATATTTTCAATTTGGCACAAAGGTTAGGAAGTGGTTAGTGTGAGATCAAATAATAATTAATCATAATTCATCCCTGCAAATCATAATTAATCCCTGCTGTAAAGCAAGCTGAACCCCTTTTTACTTATACACCATCCACATGCAAATATAAATGACTACACTCTTAAAAATAAAGGTGCTTCACGATGCCATAGAAGAACCTTTTTGTCTAAATGGTTCCATAAAGAACCTTTAACATCTGAAGAACCTTTCTGTTTCACAAAAGGTTCTTTGTGGCGAAAGAAGGTTCTTCAGATTACAAAAACGCAAGAAAGAGATGGTTCTTTAAAGAACCTTTGACTGAATGGTTCTTTGTGGACCCAAAAATGGTTCTTCTATGGCATCGCTTGAAGAACCTTTTGAAGCACCTTTATTTTTAAGAGTGTAGGATTCTCTAATGTAAAAGAAAATGGAAATGAGTATGACTTCTTCCTCTCTAAAAGGCTTCTGCAAAATCTTGTTTGTCTCCCACTGTTGACCTCATGAACTTGTCTACTTGTCACTGATGTGCTTGTATCTCAGGTGCACGTTACTTGAATGGGTATTTCTGATGCATGTCACTGATACCAAAATGGTGAAATATGTGCTTATTTTTTGTGTGTCAAAGGTGAAGGAGTATCTCATATGTGCCACTCATGTACATGTGTGTGTTTGTGTGTCCACAG